GATACCCTCCAATTCAACATTAGCATTTGTAAAAATACTCCAAGAATTGTATTTTTTTAACACGACAATACATTTATCATATCTGTTAATACGATTTCTCCTTATAATAATTAGGTAGTCACCGTCAATGATTGGGGAAATTCAATAGTAAAACAATTAAAAACTAAAATATAATTCGATTAAGGGAGTTGCGCCCTTTTCTCCATAATAACGTCAAAGTTAGAAAAATATTAAATTATAGTAGGTCCTATTATACAGTTATCGCGAAAATTGACAAATGCAATCTTTAAAGAAACGTCATCATTTTATAACTTTAAATTACAACGTTCTGGTGGTGTCACTAAAGAAGGACCCCCCCCCCCCGTACGTTTCAACATTGTTCCGGGCCCAAAATCATCTAGCTTCAGCACTGATTACAATATATGTACTTTTGGATTTTTGTGGTTCATTGTATAAGAAAATGGATTCTCAGAAGAATATAAAATAACATATTTCCCTTCAGAAGGGAAATTAAACATTTTCTCCCGTCTGAAAAAATGTTGAAAGTAGTGTATCTACCTGCAACGATGAGCCAATTCCACATCATTAAGTTTGAAAAGATCTTTTAAAAGGGGCGTAGAAATGGTGTATTTTCATGGACTATACCATTTTCAAGCATGTGTTATTTCCTTTTAATACTGATAAATTCACGGGTTTCATTTTTTATTTAACCTTACAAAACATGAGCAGGAGAAAGTATTCTTTACAACAATTGATTCTATACACATTGTTGGTAGCTAGATGTAAAACTCCGCTAGTATAGTTTCAGTATCGGAACGTTCGATTTTGTATATTAAGAGACAACAAGAATGTGGTCCACGACAAGAGGTCTGTATAATAATGTAATTAAAATACCCATTTATTCTTACGCGTACATTAATAAGAAACAAAACATTTTTTTTCTTGTTAAATGTCTTGTTCTGGTAAAATTGTGCTCCTGTGTACAACTAAAATCCTATGTATTATATCATGTTAAATATTTTCACAAGTTCCAGAAGTACTAGTTACATTTTCTTTATTTAATACAAATGTGTTCAGTGAAACCAAGACTTTCTCCGAGAAACAAAGCCGGAAGTCTCACGACTCACATTCGCGACTCGGCCTCGTAGTTACAGAAAATTAGGCATCCGACACAACCTCTGCGCACTGATTCACAGGAAAAGATGTCCCTTGGGTTTTTTATAGATGGCAAGCTGATGTCCTGAGTTGTCGTTAGTATTATGGCCAAGGCCGGATTAATATCTTGAGGAAACCTACGAATTAGCGAACTACACCTTCCCATTTATTTTTTTAATGCCAAAACAATTAGAAAAACTACGCGTGACGTACTATTGAGGAGAAGTGCAATATGCGCACAGTTTCTTGAGCTCAGGAATCCCTACTCTAGCTGTATACTTACATTATGTAGATTTGATAATAAGAAAAATATTTGCTCCCGCATAATAAAAATTAATTGCAACGGCAAGAAAGATACAGATTTTGGCTCTCATCCGTTATCGTGGCTTATGTGAAGGATTCGTCTTTCTACAGCGAGAACATGGAGAACTACCATTTGAATAACTAGTTCTCTGTACTAAAATTTTGCGAAGTACAGTGTAGCCACATTTACGGTCCGAAGCAAAACTAGTTTCTATGACAGCATTAACTCAATAGATTTAGATTTATTCAGTCAAAAAACACACATAGTAAAAGCTGTATGTGACGTAGAGGGGGAAAGATTATCTGCGCACGTTTTCTTGAGTTCCAGAATCCTTTCCCGTCATTTTGACTTTAAATACTTGAAAGGTGAGTAAAAGTTTAACATAAATAAATAAAATAAATTTTAAAAATCGCAAGATTAGCAATATTAAAAAAATAGTCATTTTCGTTTCCGAGTTATAGAAAACTTATTTGCATCGGTACATGAATTGCAAGTATGATTTTTCTGCATTGCTAACAAAATAGCAACTCGCCCTTACCTCTACTCTTACCAATACAAGCAAAAGGAGAGTTCAACAAAACGTGCGCATATTGAAGATACATTTACGTCCAGAAGCAAAGCAAGGGGCCATCTCAGCATTTGCTCAATGAATCAAGGAAACTGGACAAAAACTTTATCGTCATTGACCTGGAAGCTGAAGTATATTATTTGTTACAAACATATTAAGTCTTTAAAATAATTCAATACAAATGTAAACTAATTCATTACATATTGTTTTCTTAAAATAAACATTATTTTTCTTTTATCAATGGAAACCGGGCGAAAAACCTGTTCGAGAATGGATGATTAACACTGAAAAAAAGAATACATGGAACCAAAATTAATTTGAAAATAAAAATAAAACTTAGAATTCTCAAATTAAACATTGTGTGTGGGTTAAAAAATAAATTGTCTACACTTATGTACATTTAAAAAAATATGCATATATTTTTTTACATTTGAATTTTTTGTTTGTGTTATTAAATTTTTATAGTATATTAGACCATACACTCCAACAGTTTAGTCATTACAAATAACATTGTTCGCATCGTAGTTTATAACTACCTAGAGTAAGACGCAGCGAGGAAGGCATCCTTAAACCTTCCCACAGCAAAAAATTGAGGCGCCAATTTATCTCGGTTATTATTGTTCGTTTTTCTTCGAATATAGCTTCTACTTGTGACCCCGTTTCAAGCGAGTAATGGCTGTAATTAAGACTCCAATAAATAAGTGAAGAACAAAGGTAACGTGTACTGAAGTAAAAACGGAATTAATTCGCCAAAATCTTTTCTGGGGAACTATAAGCATGGAGATATTATGTAAATAATGATATTCATATAAAACCAGTAAATAAAAAAATTAAAAAAACTATTGGTGCAAAATTGCATTGCATTTATCGACCGTACTTTTAAGCATTTTTCCGCGAAAAGTATTCAAATTATCGAAAAATTGTACTTGCCCTTATTTCAAAATCTATCTTTAAAGAACAGATTTAATTAAGGGAAAAAATCTGTATCTTCAAAATTCTAGTTTTAGGAAAATGCCGAAAAAGTTTTGAATTCTTGCAATTTTCGAAATCTCAGAGTTTTTAACGAACATGAGACCAGTATCATTCTCTTAAACATCCCTCACATTATCCAACAACAAAAGTTAATCAAAAACAATAAAGCCATATTTTGAAAATTTTGAGAAGGTCCCACTGGCATCATGTAAAGTACCCCACAAAATTAAAATATCGGTTTCAAAATCAAGGGGCCGCTACATCAGCCAGATCGATTGGGGAATATCATTGTTGGAGAAAATCGACTCAATGGTTTAGCAGCTAGCGTCGTTCACAGACACACAGACAGACTTTTGCCGTCATTCGATCTTTGGGACCTACAAAACATGGATTCTGGCTACACCACGTGTTAGATGATCCCCCCCCCCCCCAACTCTGGCGAAGTTTTCGAAACTAGCTAAATATCTGGGTCGAGATGATCGACTGTCTGAAGGAGGATTCAGGTGGCTGGCTGCTCTGGTCGGTGGTGTTCCCGGCGGTGCCCCGCTGGGGAAAGACTTGGAGAGGGAAACGCCACAAGCCGACGTATAGGTCGGCGCCGAATCTCTCGTTCCAACTGAGGAAAACCAGCTCTTCTCGAGATATAACATTTATAACACGTTCGGAACTGATGGCCACAGCAGTTGACGCGACCGGAAACACCAATCAATCAACATTGAGGTGTATTTACGTAATGATATAAAATGACAAATTACCTCTTTGGTGAAGACATGGCAGTTGTACGATGCGAATACAAATTAATTGATAAAGTGGTAAAAAAAAAGTCCACATGACAAAAATTACTCTAGATACACTTTTAAACTGTAAAGTTTCTTATGAAGTCTGAATACACTTAAAATTGTGCGATATAACCACAAGAAATATTCCAATATGATGAAATGAAAATCGTCATCAGTAAAGAAAAAATACTGGTAAACGTTATTGTTAACACTTTCAAAATGAAAATTCTGTTTTCCGAAAAACTTTGAAAATTATGGCAGCCCGATTAAAAACAGAAAATAAAAAAAGAGCATATCCCTTGCAGTCGAGGGTCGGAAAACCATTTTGATAAATAGACGCTTCAGGGTATGGAAATTCGGAATGAAAAATATAATTTCTTCACTTTTTTCCAACACTTTAATGTAACTGCGAAATGCAGAGACAAGCTCACACGAATTTATTAGTGAAAATGTTGAGTACGTAGAGTACCAATGTCATAAATAATCAAAAATGTCATGTCATAAATGTCAAAAATAAATGTCATAAACACAAACTTCCAATGAAAAAAATTATATCCAGAACCAATAAAATGGACGATTTGTTTGTTCGGGTTAAGTCCATCAGTTCCCAAAGCACGGGTAGCATGCGCAGTGCAGTAACTAAAATTCATTTTCGGGGAAACTCAAGAACTGTACTCGTATTTTGATATACAACTACACTCAAGAAAAAGGCGATGAATTTTCTTCGCGAATCTCTGCAACAAAATGTTGATAGTCTCCTCTCAATGGACAATTTCATATCGACATTATGAATACATTTTTGGACTGTATGTAAAATTAGTTTACAAAACAACTGCAATCAGACAACTATGCTCGCATAGTATTTCACGTCATTGAAAATTACGCTTCACGATTCATCACTTATTTCATGCTAATCAACCACGAACATTGATTTTTCAACATTAATGGGTATCATTTACCAAACTTCCCGCCAAAGCATGCGCATTACTTCAAGGAACTCGAATAAAAACTATAAGTTTGACCAACATAACAAATCTGTACTGGGGTGCACTTGACAGGGACCTGGTTCAACAGGCCTGAGACAATGCCCTGCCGATGTTCCAAAAATTGTTTATTTCGTTCCTTTTGGAATAACGAGTTGTCCCAATTTACAAACTGCACGTGACTGCCCGATTTTCACATATTAGTGGAATAACCGAAGGGTTGCTGACCAAGCCATTTCGACACCGCACTCCAACTGAGCGCTGGTGGAGTGCAGTACGTCAGAGGTGGGGGCGTCCGCAGCGACCGACGCGTCACTCGGTCCACACAGCTGGCTGCCACGCGCGCACGCGCTGATAAGACGCGTGTAACCAGTGCGACAGACGCGCTGCGACGTGTTCGTGGCTGGCAATTTCACCTCGCGTTATCGGCTGTGTAAAACAAACGACTCGTTAAAGCACAACGGCCGCGATCCTACTGGACGCCTGAGGAAGGTCGCTGGAAACTGGATTGACAGCACGACCATTCAATTGAAGCGGCCGGTCTCACGGCAGGATGTGCGGTATGAAGCGTCCCCTTTAAGTGGTCCAGGAGAGGAGGGTGCGGAAACAACGGTGCGTATTCAGTGGCCGTTTTAAATAAAATGCAAGACTAATCCACACTTCAAAGTATATCGGTGACTGCCCAAACACTACGCTTTGCTTTTCTCTTATTTTTGTAGGCAACAATGAGTTTAAATAACGCAAATTCTGTAAATACAAAAACGTTCACTTTAGTTTTCTCCCCGCCTCGGCCTCCTTTGTGAAACACAGCGATCACAAGGTGTAAAAACTGAATAAAAAATGCCACGAGTGTTTCATTAAATGCAATTACTATATGTTCGGGTACATATTATGTAGTAAATCATGAACACTTTACATGCTAATCAATGGTTTGATCAAGTTCCTGTGACAGCGCTGACGCGCCAAATTATATAATAACTGGCATTCCGTACGCTTGTGAATAGAGCTTATAAAAGGAACTGACGTGCAAACGTGAGAAATCACTCCCAATATTAAAAACTCGAAACTTACTAAAATAATACTTAATTGTACTGCGTAACTACTTATTTACACCTGTCGAAAACTTTATTTTCCAATGACACAAAATATCCTAAGTAAGGAGGTATATTAACCCCCATTATTTTAATATTTAGTCTTATAGTATATTCTACTATAAATTAATTGTGAAAAAAATCAACTCAATAATAATTAAGATTATTAACTTTCATTGTCTGTACACTCTATATCATGACATTTACAATAAATACTTCGCTAAATGCTCTACGTATGCAGCTCAACTAATACGTGAGGGGGCACTCACCGCTGAGAATTACAGCAGATTTTGAGCAGCACTTCAGTCACAAAACGGCACCACACAAGAAAACCACCACACTGCACTACACTACACTTCAGAACCACCACCACCACCTCCTATCGCAATCGTTCCTTTGCACGCACTGATCCTACTCACACTTGTCTGTTGTCAACTGAACTTCCCATTCTCTGCCATCAGGTTGCGGTAGTGGCTCCACTTCCGGTGTTCACGAGTTTCTCTACGTCCGGTACATGGCCGCAAGTGAAAGTTGTGTAACGTGGATGTTGAAAATGTGCCTCTCACTTTCAAAAACAGAAGTGTTTTATATCTTTGCAATGTATGAAAAACGAATCGTACCGAAATGAAATTAGTACACCGAAATGTAGACAAGGATGGCGAAGGGTTAGTACAATTATGTGAATGAATATTGAGTCAAGTGGGTCAAAGGAGGTTATGTGGTTTCACAACATTGAAATACTGATTGTATTATTTGCATATATATGGGGGAAATTAACCGTTGTTATTTTTTAGGGTTATCGCCCTTGTCCCTGAAGAACCAGAGGATATGTGGCATGCATATAATCTCATTGCAGAAGGAGATTGTGTACGTGCCTCAACAATCAGGTATGGAAGCAGAAACACAATTTCGAAAATGCTTTATTAGTACTCCCGCATATTGTTTGGCTGAATTTATGTAACTGTTTTTGTTTAAAATTAATCTTTGGTTTAGAAAAGTCCAAAATGAATCGTCTACTGGTTCCTCTACGAGTAGCAGAATTCGAACAACACTTACAATCCGAGTGGAAGTCATCGATTTTGACACGCAGGCATGCATGTTACGTCTTAAAGGACGTAACATAGAAGAAAACCAGTATGTCAAAGTATGTAGTATTCATATATACATGTTAATGGTATGTGATAAATATTATTTATTGACAACTGTTATGCATTCATTGTAGATGGGAGCATATCATACCCTTGATCTGGAAGTGAATCGAAAGTTCTCTCTTCAAAAACCTGAGTGGGACTCTGTTTCCCTTGAGAGAGTTGACACAGCATGTGATCCAACACAAGTAAGTATTTGCCTTTTAATTAATGTTTTGCAAGATAAATTAGTACTTTATTGCATTAAACAAAACTGATTGATCTACAATTTTACAGAATGCTGATGTGGGTGCTGTTGTAATGCAAGAAGGCCTTGCTCATATTTGTCTTATTACTTCTAGTATGACCCTGGTAAGGGCTAAAATTGACCAGTGCATTCCAAGGAAAAGAAAAGGCAATGTTCAACAACATGAAAAGGTATTTATATTTTGCAAGTAAACTTTTTGGAATTTTTAAAATCAAATTAAAATAAAATCAATTTTTTTCTTCAGGGTTTGTTGCGATTTTTTGAAAATGTAATGCAAGGAATCCTCCGTCATGTGAATTTTGATATTGTCAAGTGTATAATTATTGCTAGCCCTGGATTTGTGAAAGATCAGTTTTATGAATATATGTTCCAACAAGCTGTTAAGACTGATAATAAGATATTACTTGAAAATAAGGGGAAGTTTATGTTGGTGCATGCATCAAGTGGATTCAAACATTCTTTAAAAGGTCAGACATCAGCCTCTTGAACCTACCCATCAAATACAACTTGCACTGGAATTATGCTTTTTTTTTCCCTCCTAGAGGTTTTAATGGATCCTGCAGTCATATCTAAAATTGCTGACACCAAGGCGTCAGGTGAAGTACGAGCTTTAGAATCCTTCTATACAATGTTGCAAACAGAACCTGCTAAAGCTTTCTATGGCATCAAGCATGTTGAAAGAGCAACTGAGGCCCAAGCGATAGAAACCTTAATGATTTCTGACAACCTGTTTCGGTGAGAACCTGTTTTACACTTAAATCGATTTATGTATCTGATTTATTGTTATCACCAATATTTCATTTCAGAGTACAAGACGTTAAGCAGAGGAAGAGGTACGTGACACTAGTTGACAGTGTTAGAGAATTTGGAGGTGATGTGAAGATATTTTCCAGCCTTCATGTTTCTGGAGAACGTAAGTTCTATGTTTGAATGTGAACAAAATCAACATTGGGGTGCAACAAAACTATAATTTCTTCAGTATAAGCTATTTGGTCTTCCGAAGTGTAAGTTGTTACAACTGACATTAAGAAGTTCAAAAACCGTTTGTTCTTTAAAGAGAATATTAAATGAATTATAGTTTTTAAAGTCAATAGATGACTTTGATGAAGTTCAAAGCTTCCTATTCCTATACATTATTATTGCTGTGAATGCTTAAGCAATGAAATCAAAATAAACATTCCCTCAGAAAGAAGATACTACCCGTGCATGTGGTTGGGAAATACTCAAGTATTGTTGAAAACAAAACTTCTAAGGGGGTAACTTATAAATTAAAATGAAATTTGGGATATGGTTTTTCACTCTTTCACACTCAACAAGATATTTCATGTACAGTAGACAAATTTTAAAAAAAAATATAATTGTGTGATGAAACAAAAAATATGCAAGAAAGGTATGTTGTAAATATAAACAAAATGGTTTTCTAATGTTGAATCAATTTTAACAAGGTACACTTAATCTAAATTTTCAGGGTAATATTTACAAAACTAGAGGTAATCCTGGAGATGGTAGGGCAATACTGTTTTAATATGAGAGAGTTATTAGTCTATAACGAGATCACATGATACAATTGACACGTGAATTTGACATTTATAGTACTCATCATAGTTCAGGAACATCTTTGCCATTACTCAACATCAATTATCAGACGTTAGAGAGCCACATACACATCAATGGCAGAGTGTAGTGTGCTCCTTGAAGCTGAATCAAGCACCAAAAAATTAGCAATGAAAATTGTTTCTTTTGCACGCTCTCAGATTCATGAGACTGACAAACACCAGGTCTGGATAGAAAAGAAGTTGGTGTTTATGATAAGGTATAACAAATGGCTTTCAGTCAAACAACTTGAAAAAAATAAATATTGAAGTACTGCACATGTCAAGAGTCAGTCACTGTATTCCAAGCAGATTCAAAAACAAGACCAAAATCTCTATGTTTTTCATTCGTTCTATGTAGTACGTGCAGCTTGTTTCCCATAAATGACAACAGTACATTGCATGTTCCTGTAAACTATGAAATGTCAGTTACCATTATTTACAGTCAAACATCTCATTTATGCTATCAAAAAAATATAGTTTACGAATTCAATATAAAGTCCAAAGAACAAAATCTTAAAACAATGAATTGTCACAAGGAAAGTATGAAGGCAAAACATCTGATGTCAAGTAACAGTAACAACACTGAGTAATCCTCTGGTATACTGAACATGCTTACTGGGCATCAATAGACCTTACCTATCAACCATATTTTATCCATCCCTCTTAAGGCTTGATCCAGTCTTTTCATTCTCATCACACCAATAACTTAAGGAAATTATTCTGAGACTTGGTGAAATTTCTCTTTCTTGCTGTCTTCAGATTTTATTACTCCTGCTGTACTTTAGAATAGTGTTGTATGCTCATGAAGCATAGCAGTGCCAGCAGCATCTGAGTTGGCTGTTAACATGTCTTTCATCTCTAAATTTTGTCTTAAAATCAACTTCATGCTATTCCTCAAGAGGAGGACTTAGTCTTGAAATGATCTTGGTCTCGAATTCAGATGATGTTGCAATATGCAAAAGAGGTTTCTAATTCTTCTTATGAGTTATTACTACAGCTGGGTACACGTGACAATTTGTTGTGACAAATATATTGTTAATCCATTCTTTACGAATTTCCTTACCTGGTGTCATGTGCTTTTAAACAATCAAAACAAAATGCACAGCATGGTTCATATAGACCCCTAATAATAGAATATAAACCATGTTTTCACAAGGGTTTATATTCTGTAATTAAATTTTTAAGTACATTTTCTACCAATAACTTTGACCTGCTGAACCCATTGCCACCCATTATGTCTATCATAATGCAAGTCGTTAAATATATGCCTAATGTTTCCAGAATTGGACCAGTTAACTGGAATTGCAGCCTTGCTTCGCTTTCCAATGCCGGAACTAGAGGACGAAGATGAAGAAAGTGATGAAGAGAAATGACAATTGCAACTTCCAGGAGTGTTGATATTTTATCCATAATTCTTGGGTTAGGTGTTCCTTATTTATGGAATTCGGCCATTGTTGCTTGTTATGTTATTGGCTGGAACAATTAACATGACTGTTTCATCCATGTGCTATTTATTTTTACTCGAGTGGCTTTTGTTTCATGGATAAAACTGTTTATTTTATTTTGATTTGTATAATCTATACACTGTAAAATGAAGTGTACAGTTGTAAAATATACAAGGAAGCATACCTAATGAGCTAGTGTTTGAGTTGCTTGGTTCCCCTCCTAATGACTCCACGAGGTCAGCAGATAAGAATGTGAACTTAAGTAATTTTTTATGAGACAATTTAGAGATGAAATGTGATTTGTAAACAACAGTGCTTCACTGTTATACTGAAAATTGAGGAATTAAATTCTTTACAGTACTTATAAAGTAACGAAATATATGCCAGACTGGATAGCCATGGTCACTAAGGGTCCCAATTCCACCTGGAGCACGGGCATTTGCGAGTCCATACGCCAATGTTACTTATAGTGGTCGTTATAACAAGAAGCAAAATCAGCTATCTTATTTGTTCAGTCTCCATTTACATCATACTAATAGACGTTTTCTCTCTTGCTTTGCAACATAATTACGTAGTCAAAATAATGTATTATACTGCTTTGGCTAAAACTTTCTCAAAAAATGGCCCAAATTTTTTTTATTGACATTTTTCTTCAGATAGCATAAAGGCACTAAAAATTAATGTGATATTTTCTTTGGAATGTTTGAAAATTTCAGAACTTTTTCTTTAAAGAAATCTGTTCTTTACAGATCTTGAAATTAAGTCATCGCCCAATTTTACGAAACTATGAATAGTTTTTATATAATTTCACCTGAAATATAGATAACTTTTAATAATTATTTTCTCAAAAGCAGCTCCAAATTTAGATGCTGAAAACACATCTCATTTTCAGTGAACACTGTATTTTAAAAAATTAACATGGTAAAAAATTCCATTCCGATGATATTAATACTTTGTTAAAAAAAGGTTGTTCTAAAAAAAAAGAACTTTAAATAACAATGTCTACAACTTTTCAAAAAACCAGGTAGTTTTCTCTTAATTTTTGCTTTTAAGTTGATGCAATTTACAAAACGAACTATAATAGCTCCAGCACATAAACAGCTTCTCTTTTTCTTTACTGCAAATTATGCAAAAAAAAGTGACACAGGCCTCTTTCAGCAAGCTCTGTATTTTAGAAAATCGCAAACAAAATTAACATGGTAAAACTACAATATTGATGATAGAGATTTGTTTCTTCAATTAAAGCTTTTCTTATTATGTAAATGAATATCTAGAAACAATGTAAATGAAATTTTCTTAATTTTTAAAGCAAATACAAATATTTATCTTTTTAAGCACTGAGAAGGTAAAGTTTAGCTGTGACATTAGTGGCAACATGACTAGCGTGATCACTTGTGACTTACGGACTCTAGTTGTAATCCCAGTGTGGAGGAAAAAGTTATCGTCATGCTAATGAGCAAACCCCGTAACTCCATATTCTCTCCTCTATTTCCTGTTTACTTCATAATAAAATATAATTATAAAAGAATAGTAATAAATAAAAGTAAATAAATCTAGCATTCCCCATTCCCTGTTGAAATAAATGTAACGAGAAAGGAAACTAGAACTCTGCTTCCCGGCTATGTTTATTCTTATCGTTGGGAATCTGTCCAGTCTGGAGTTATGAAGCATGCTAATTAGTATGATGATATTTATTGCTTCTTGGTTGACGCAAAATGTCTCTGAACCCTTGCTGGGTGTTGCACTTGTTATGGAGTAATCCTGCATTACTGCGTTTGTCAAGACTCGTCACATTGCAGTCAGTGCCTTTTATCCCTTCAGCCAGGGGCTCGGCATTGTTAGATCCCTTTCCTATAAGGTAACCCAACCATGAACCTTCACGAAGCATAGTAAAGGACTTAGCTAGCAACACCAGCTGGAAACACTTTTTCCGGGTTCATGTTGAATTATATTGTAAAGCATGTTGAATTATATAGTTACAAATAATGTGAGAAAGCACAAGCTGTTATAGTGCCACTAGTTTTACAAGATATGACATCATCCAAACTGTTAATGGCATCGCTCTTTATGTAGATAATTCAGTGGTCCCTAAGTTACCAACGTAAGCACGATTTATAAAGTTAGTGAGTGGCTAATTTTTTCTGACTTATTTTTCTTCTCAGCCTGTACTCAGAGTCTTCTCAGACTCATTCTTTTACTCTAAAATTAATATCCATCTAGTTCAAAGGCATTCTTGGTACATGATTTACCAATTAGTCAGATTGTCCAGAATGGTTTTCAATGAATTTATTTTTGGTCCTTTAGTTCACCTTCATTCACTGACATGAGGGAGGAGAAAGCAATACCACAATTTCCACATGAGCATATAGCTGTTTCCACATTTGGGTGTCTTAGATATTTATCATCCTATAAACATTTCAGAATTTTGTATGTGTCCCTTACATGTCGTTATCTGTATTAAAAAAAAATCTCAACTCTCAACTGCACCTCCCAGTGGTGGGGGTTGAAGGCAAACTTGGGGTCTGAAAGTCAACTGGAATAATTGTCCCTCCCCATTAATAGCCTTTAATCAAGATTGCAGACATTGGTAGGCTTGATCTCATGCCATGGGAAATAAAACTTGCCTAAAGAACCTAAAGAAGGTAGGCTATACCCCTTGAGATGTGACATATGCAGGGAGCATAAGGGATCAAGAGCCCTAGACAAAAAGCTCTTGTCCTTCAGTTCAGGGGTTGTGTGTTGGTCAGTACCATGCCGATTTGAAAAACAGTTTATTACAAATAGCTACAGGTAGCTTTTTAAAAGAAAGACAAGAAGAATTAGGGAAAAGAAGGATATTGTGAGCTAAAGAAAAAAATATCAGACAGAAAAACTAGAGGCTGCTGAAGAACAGAATACAAAGACCGCAATATTGTGTTTATCAAAATAAAAATTGAAGAGAGACCAATTAATATAAGTAAGTTTTGATTTTATTATTGTTAACATAACTAAAAATTAAATATTTCTACTTAAAAAATTTATAATCCTATTACAGAATTAAATACTAACAAAATATTCAATATCATCATTAGTATTTTAAAAATTCGATAATAGGTATTGAACATTCATAAAAATTTGACTAAGTTTGTAGTATTGTACACAAGTTAAAATTAACAAGAAATTAATATCAATAATATTATATCAAAATAGATTTGAGACAACTTCGCTGTGCTTAGCAACACAACAGAAACAGGCTTCAAAAATAGAACTTCTGAAAGAACAAACATAAAAATATTTATAAATCTCACTTGGGTAAACAAAATACAAGACAAAAATCAAAACAGCCCCACCAAAAATTAAAATTATACAGTCAAATTAACAGAACAGCAACAAATACCTAGGAGAAATAATTCAAGAAAATGTATCAGGAAAAGAAGCAATTAAACACTAGATGACAACACTATTTCATTTCACCAAAAATATCAATATTCAAAATCAATATCCATCAAAGCTAAACTTAAGATATTGTGCAGTAACTAACAAGGAAGCTCTCTTAAGTCTCAGAATGAATGGTTTTAAACAAAAAAATAATGGAGGAACTGGAAATTGGTGAAAGACGAATACTGAGAACCAACTGACATCTGGAAACAATTCAGGAGACATTGTAAGTAGACTCATAACTATGACCTTACATATCCAATCAGGAATTTGTTTAAAAAAATATAATTTAAAGTTGCAAAAGCTTGGTTTAAAAAAAAAAATTATGTTTGACTTTTTAAGGACTTCCCTTTTGGATCCTAGTGAATGTATTTGAGTAGAAAGAATTTAGGGTTAAACTTGGTATGTAGAGGGAACAACAATTTAACTAGAGGGTTTATTTCTCATATGTACATTATTTTCTACTTTTCTTCCACGGACTTGACTTCTGGTGTCGGGTTCTCCAAGTGAGCATGATGCAAGTAAGAAAGATTGCTATTGGTGAAAAGGATGGTCGACATGAGAGAATAGCAGGATTACCAGGATCCAAAGATTACCTTGATCCAATTTTTTCTACCTTACAACATAAAGAGATCATGCTTTACCATGTTGAATCCTCGTATTCAAGAATAGGTTTCTCGTTTTTCAACCACCGCATTTTAGCTAAAAACCTGAAGTCAGAAACCAATTTGACCTCAAGGATGATTGATCAGAGTTACAGAACTTGAACTATAGAAAGATCTGTCTTTCGTGGCAACTATTTTTTATACAGCTGAAAATCACCAACATGTCAGAGGATCTGGTCAGATTCAAAAGATGTTATAGATAAATTGTTTATGGTGATTGAGATGTTGGTTCCATTGATCTTGTAGATCACAGTCAGATGTTCATTTTGTTTAGTATTGCAAAACAAAAACCCAGTTAAGGCTGGTAAAATAATGCAGGATTTAAATCATGTTTTTATGAACTCTGAAGTTAACAATTGTAATACTATTTATACAAGCAAATACTTCTATAAATTTCAATCTAAGAATGCCACAAATAATACAAATTTCTTTATCAGAGTTGAACACTTCCTTCACTTCAAATTATTGTACACAGTCAACACCTTTCTATGAATTATCACTTCAGAATTACTGTTTTTCTAGAGGCAATAAATTTAGGCAACTCAAGATTATTGACATCTCCCTACTACACATTCTCATATCAACCAACCTATCCCATTTTCTGCACACCAATAGCAATTGTCAAACATTCACGTATGTGACAATGCAATGGAGTAATGTATGGAAATAAGGGAAAGACTTCCACTATAATTAAATATTAAACCTTGATTAATAATTTACTTGCACATGTTAGTGCACAGAAAATTATATGAAAATAAAAATTATCTTTATTATTGTCTGTTTGATTGATACTGCAAATCAATGCATCCTATTTTACAAATATTTAATATTTTTGTTATTAAATTTTTAATATTCATGAATTTTTTGCAAAAATTTTATATACATAATCACTAAATTTGTGTATGCCAAAAACTTTCACTTGAGGGAACAGCATTAGGCAATTTATAAAGGAGACTATTTATACAGGTGCTTATCCTCTGCAATTACCGAACTGCAAGGGCAGTCGCCACTATATTCCCCTCCCTGAACATAGACTGAACTATAACTATGCAAAGGTTGTAAGACTGCTATTGGTCCACAGAAGAGAGCAGATGGCAGGTGATATAACCAAATGGGGAGACCACATCAAAAATGACCATGTGCTGCCAAAATGTATTATCCTTTACTCTGTGAACTATTAACGCTGATAGAGATGAGCATTAAAGCAATGCCTCACAGCTCGATTGTAGTGGTGATTTAGGGTTTACCGGTTCGATCCCTGCTAGGCATCAGTGATTTACCTGACTTCAGTTTATGGTGCCTACTGCAACCAAAGTTAAAGACCAACTGCACTGATACGTGGTTTTCTGCGACTTCCTGATCAATTCCAGGGAACGATGGAACAGCACTCTATAAAATAGGCCATGGACAGCTTGCGACCCTTCCTTCTCTCTTCTCATTTATATCCTTAAGGCTGTGCAATGGGTTGATAACCATTCATGACATAGGATACCTCCTAGCATCGGAAGCAGTCATGGCTTGAAGTTCTCAAGTTTATGTGCTCTTTTCTCACCGCTATTTTTGTGAACATCGATTTATTTCAGAGCGTTATTGTCTTTAAATTTAGTTTATCACTTGACAATATAAGGATTGCTGATTTCTATTGTGTTCTGAAATTTATATTTTCATTTCAATTATTCAATAATAGAATTCTGTCATTTTATTTGGATACTATTAAAAGAGTTAAAATTCCAGAATTTTCATATGGCTGGGAAATGTTCTTTAGGCCTGCTCGGATTTCAACCAGTGTCAGGAGACAAAAGGATGTTTCAAACACAAAACACTATTGTTGTAGATTTTGTATTTATAAAACTTCATAATCCTTCACACATGACAGGAAGTGGAAGAAAATAGAAAAGTATGAAGGAAAACAAAAATCTTTTCCAGGAAAGGAGAGTTCAGTGACGTCAACAATTGAACAGTTCATTCCATTCAACTGTTTTCTGAATTATGTGTCAGTTGAAAATATTTACAAAATGTAAATAAGTCATTTTTAAAAATCTATGATCTTCAAATTTGTTCATCCCATTTCAATACTTCTTTCTTGTAAATACATGTTCAACCGTACATATATCCTAAACACACAACCACTTAGTAGTCAAAATCTGAGACAAGTGTAGGGACTGTATTCCTCTTCTAGTTTCATTAACAATCTGGAGCATGAATGTGAAACACAATTCATTGGACTCAACTTGAGTATCTCTAACTAAATAAGTGACACACATCTTCTGTAAAATACACATCTTCAATGCATTAGTCTGTATCTTTTCAGCAAGTCTAAAAAGGTCATTTATGCACCACTTTCTTATATACACATTACAAATGACATGCTGAAAAGCGGAAATCAACACAATTTATGCCCAGAACACTACATATAATTCAAGGGAAACATTTATGACTAGTCAAGAGGATTACAGGCCCCACACCAGCACATGCAATGCTGATGATACACGTTGTCTCTTCATGTCACACACTGAGCAGCTTTTATCACTTTCCTCCACCAAATAGGTTCCCTAGGCCACCCGTTGCACCTTGCTGCAGTTGCCTCATCATATTTTGTAGACCATTCATACCACCTGCACATGAAATCAAACATCAAAAAAATAAAATTTTTATAGCAGCATCAATAATCTAAAACAAAAAAGCTCTTAATATAATCACAAAAACAATACAAATATTTTTTATAATAATTCAAATACTTAGAGGCATTAACTGCCCTGGCAAGGGAAAAAAATATTAGGTATCCTGTTTTACGGCTAGTTACTTTCACCACAAAGCTACCAAAACACCCAATGTTTACAATAGTTTCTTAGGCCACTTGGTTTGCGCATTATACTCACAGCCCCCATGGAACACAGATGTATTGGCAAATATTATGTCACAGAAATGTTCCTAGTACAGTAAATGTCTTCCATATGTGACCTGGATTCTGGGCAACATATATTTTATTTTTAATAATAATAATAATAATAATAATAATAATAATAATAATAATAATAATAATTATTATTATTATTATTATTTTTATTTTTATTTTCTTTCCATTAAATTTCTTTAATGGATTGTGCGAACTACATAGATACGCTTATAAAAACAGGGCATGTCTGATTTGCACTGAACACTGTTGTGAATTTACGTAAATTACAAAAGTTACAAATATTGCAAGAAAGCGAGTACTATTGGAGCATCATTAATTCTATTTTTATTTCCAAAACTTCAATTTTGGAGACAATTTTCGACATTTCATTCGCTTTTACCAGCTTCCTCGATCTCTAGCCACTTCAACTTGCATTCTAATGAAATGGAGGAGTTTCTGTTCGGTTTCTTCTTGATTATTATGATTGGGTAGCAATTATTATGATGACTTGTTTCTCGTCTTCACGCCTCCGTTCACGTCTTGTGGCCTTTTCAGGTGATGTCCAAATGCTTCTTTCCTTTACTTCTGATTACGCTAACTGCTTGGTAAAACTAAGTACTTGAATCCTCTCATGGTCAAATCTTTTCCAAGTTGGTAACATGTTTGTGGGTTCAAGTTATAGTATAATATTATGTAAGCTTTAAAAATAATCCAAAAAGGTACATGCTGTTGTTGCACCACTAGTTAACGTTTGTAATGATGGGACTTACACAGAATGAGGATTTCATCTTTCTTCTTTAATTACGGGTGTCTCTGCAATGTGAAAGATTACATATTTTTGAAATTATATGTCTCTTCTAGTTTTAAAATAATTTCTTCACTATTTGGACCTGTATTTTTGACTACCATTTTGATTTTTTTTTCACACTCTGTACTCAATTTATCTGCCATCGATTTTATTTCTTCTGATGTTTTAAAATTGCCATCTTGCATCTGTTTATTTTCACAACCAACCATGTTGGATTGGAATATATATCGATTACTTTGGATTTTAGAGCTCTTTTGTCTCGTTTGAAGTTCTTTGACAGATTTTTCAAAAGTTCATAACACATCATCGTTATTCTTAGTACTTTGTAGAGTTTGTACAGAGACTTTATTCCTTCTAAGCATAAGGAAGTAATAAATCTGCTTTTCGGCAGGTACCTTATTTTTCTAGAATTTATGCCGTTTCATTCCCCACAGAACTCAAGTTTTCCAAATACTGCATAATCAAATGTCATCACCGTTAAGTTTGCAGACATTACACTGATCTATTATATATTTGGAAAACTTACATCTCCTTCAATATTGTTTTTTATACAATATGAGTAATAATAATTGCAATATTTTGAATAATTAATAATTTGAATAAAATAAAAACATGAAGAATTTTGACTGATTAGTGATCTTCATGCACTTTGATGCTGAAGTCCACTACCAAATTTCCTGTCACCAGCAAAACATCCTAAAGTATGTACAAGGTCACATTGCACTCATCAGTGTGGGCAAATGGACAAAATTGATTGCAAATTCCTATCCCTAAATATTATTTGTAGATATACATTTGTTTATAATAAAAGCAAGAGTACAGCAGAAAAGAAAGTACTCCGGTGAAACCTTAGGCATCTTTCATAAAACGTGAAAAGAAATGACTGTCATGAAGTAGTTGTTTTTTTCCTATTCGGCCAGAGAAGTCCATTTATTGAAAAAATACAAATATAGCAGTCAATAACAATTCTAAAAATAAAATAAGACAAGAAAACGATAGAAAATTTTTTAAAACAAATCATTCAAATGAAAAATTTTGTTGGATGTGTCTCTTTTTTAATTACACATCCAATAGCAGAGAATCTAGTAATTTAAATTTGATTATATGAAATCACTTACCCATATGTTGTAGTACCCGGGGATCCATCATTTTTGCCATTTGTTGGTTCAGTTTCGACATTTGAGCAGGATTAACATTCTTTGTCATATCTCCACCTTTAAATAGGCCCTTAATGCCACCCATCTTCTTCACAACAGCAGCAAACTTTGTGTACTGAGAAATAAGATCTTTAACTTCTTTCTCGGTGACCCCAGCACCTTGGGCCACCCGAGTAACCCTACCACCCTGCTTTGTAAAAAGCTTTGCACCATCACGATTATCAAGTTCTGAAACAACAGGTTCTTTTTTTTAAACATTCCCTCCTCACCCAACAATGGAAAGGAAAAGAAAGAAAACAAACAAGGGGGAGGGGGGAATAAAAAAAGGTGAAGGTGAAATATAAATTTATTACAATAGTTAGTTTTCAAGAAAAATTACACCAAAAATTCAATTCAATTGGTTTACAAGTTATTTTATTAAATTACAAGTTAATGAAAATTCTAAATCATTAATAGGCTTGAAATTACTTGGCTTGAAAACTAAAGAAACCATTTGGAGCCAAATTTTAAAAATGCAGTACAAGTCGCATATGAAGTATCAAAACTAAAGACTTCTTTTAAATACATGGGTTATGAATGCGAATCAATCAGAAGCATGACATTTATTTAAGAAAAACCTCAGAATACAGTTTAGGTACAAGAGTTGTTCTAAGATATGCAGATATGTTTGAGATAGAAAAACTCTCTTCAGATTACAGAGATCTCCAAAATTTGTATTTCTATGAAAATTCTGAAATAAATCCTGTGTGTGATTACAAGTATCAACACTAAAATGATAAGCTTTATGATATACATGCACTTCATGCACCTTCCTTACTGTAATACACACAAATAAGATTTTCAGGCAACGCAGGGATTGGCCTGAAGATAATGAAAGTTGAACTGAAGTGTGCACTTATATTAACAAATAGATTGAGTATAAGAAAGAGAGATTAAAATGTATGTATGTATTATGTGTGATTGTGTGGATTATTATATGACTTCATAGGTGTACACTTACTATTTCAAATTGTTATCTTGCATCTCTAAATATTCAACAGCAGTTAACAATTTTAAGAGAAATTAAAATTGGCTCTTAAGAGAAACTGGCATTCACATTATTTTCCCCTTAACCTCATTCCTATCTCAATTAGAGAAAGCACACATACTATATACCTTCTTCTAAATTCTATGGCTAAAAAGCATTTACATACATACCTCCATCATTCATGCTATCCATAATTGTCATGAGTCGTTTAAGTCTAGCCATTGATTCTTGTTCACTGCCTTTCGAGAGAACATCCTGGCTGAAGCCAGGAATCATACCCTGCCAATCAAATTTTTATTTAATTATTACCCGAACACTCTGGGAACAAGTATCAAATAAAAAAATTATTGTAATAAACGTTAACATTAAAAATAACAAAATACACATACCATAATCTGAGAAAATGGTCCCATTTTCATAATGTTCTGGAACTGTTCATACATATCTCTAAGAGTAAACTGTCCATGCTTAATTTTTTCAATGAGCTCTTCATTCTCATCCAATTTTAACTCATTAACTTTATCTATAAGGCCTTCTATATCTCCCATACCCAAAAGTTTGCTAACAAATGGTTTAGTTTTGAATGGTTCAAAATCATCAATGTGTTCTCCAGTACCAATGAAAATAATAGGACTTTCTGTTGCAGCCACCCTAGAAAAATAAACATGCCACTGTTCCAAACAATCTCTGCTAAATATGTTACAAACAACAGTTTTAATGATTCCCACACATTCTACTTGCAAAGTGGACAAACTTCGTTAAGCAGGCAAAATACCTTCTTATTTACATTCTATTCTTTCAAACAGGACCTCATTTTTTTTAAAACATTAACAAAAGTATTAATGAAACAACCATTTTCTGAATTTCTAACTAATGCAAAATTCTGCTTAACTCGAAGTGTTTGTACAGCTTGTCTGTTAAGCTTTTCAAAAATGTTAGTAATAAATTCAAGGATGGAACATATACTTCAAGGTATTCTAAGACATTTTAAACTCTTTCAAATGATTGACTACATACTTTTTTTTTTTTTTTCAATTAAACTGGGTCTATATTTAAATTTAATATAATCGTTTTATTTAATTATTACTCCTAATGACTGTCTTAATATTTTAGAATAACAATTGATTTCTAATAGAAACACAATCAAAATCTTAAAACATTCACATTAAATTGCCAATTTAACATTGAATATTGGTGTCTACAAGGTTTCGTGGCCCAGTAGTGACATCAGCAGGTAGAAACTAAAATCATATCAATAAATCTCCAATGAATTCAGAAATCAAATAGTCACTATAAAAAAAAGGTTCAAACTACATACAAAAATTTCAAAGCCAGTGTAACAAAGAACGAAGTGACTAAGGTCAACCTTGGTGTACCTCTCACAGAATATCATAATATAAGTATTGTCCTTTCTGGAGACAGGAAGACATTCATATTGTCTTCACTGTTAATGTCTTATAACTGCAATACACACGACCTCACAGAAACACGACAGACAGAACATAATGGATACACACTGTTGGAATTGGGAATGTACTCCATTTATTATCTGGTGGAAGATGTCAATGAAAGAATAATTGAAATATTCTTGTATTCATTTTATCTTAATTTAACATATACATGACTTCATTAAATGCTGTACATTTCCCTATCCGACTCCCTTAATGAACACATATGTACAAATTTTGGTCCAACCTATTCTGCACATCATTTTATGATGGATAGATGAGAGAAAAACATCACAATCAAAATTACCATTCATTTAGAGGATAAGCAGAGTCCAAATCTTAGCAACAGTTTAAATTCATTTCCAGGAATTGAATATGAAAAGTAAAAAATTAGAAAGTTTCATTTTACTGCAAACATCGAACACTATTCTCAACTTCAATGAATTACATGAGAGAAAGAATAGGTGTTTTCTTATAAATAGTATTTGAAATATTGAAAATTATATTATGTTAACCAAAGTAAGTAAAGTACTCCAACTTATTTACATATTCTACATACACTAAAAATGGATTTAAAAAATCTGTATCAAATAAACAAAATGAAAAAAAAGGATTCTTTATCATTTTATATTTCTTATGGTTAATTCTATTAATTAAAATAAGGCATTCTAACTTTGCAAATTCAATACTTGTAGTAAAATGAGTCTTACTACTATCATTAGAATAATGTTAATATTTTACAGTGATAAGGAAACTATCTGTGCAAGCTATTATTTTATTAAATTTGCTGTATAATGCAACCTGATGTCTATTGAAATACCACTTAATTACAGCTCTCTACAAGAACTGGACTCTTACACCAACTGCATTCTAATAAATAATATAAATTAATTTATTTAAAAAAATAAACTGTTAAAATCATGAATTACTGTTTTATAAACAAACAAAACTAATTAAATTGGAGTTCATCTTGAGGGTGTAGAATACCTTCAGTATTCTAATGAACAGACGCCATGCAAATGGGCATGGCCCAAATGCAGCAAATCATAAGCATGTGCAATTGACATCAGTGACTGTACGAGATAGACAAATCCATACTGCTAACACCAGAACATATTCCCAATATGTAGACTCACCACTGATTCTCAAATCGCCTTTAGCCATACAGCGAGTATCGAGTATAATGATTTTATGATAAAATTTAAAAATCCGAAAATAACTCTGAATGGGTTAATATTGTATAATATTCATTCTGAAAATTTGAGTAGATATTTTATTTCGTATAAAAAATTAGGGGCAAGGGATTCAAATAATTCCAACACAACAAAAATAATGGCCATTCTTGTTTACATACAACATACAATGTACTTACGCACTGAGGGCACCACCACCCTTTGCATGTCCATCCAATTTTGTCACTATCACTGAACCTACATCTACTTTTTCTTTGAAAGCTCTAGCTTGAGCTTCACAAGCTTGACCAATAGTAGCATCCATCACGAAAATAATATTGTCTGGTCTCTGTTAAAAATAATGGAAGCATCATAATTACCATTGTAAGTCTACGTAACAACTTTACATTTACCAAGAAACATGAATAGTAACTTACAACAGCATTAGAAACTTGTAACATTTCTTCAAAGAGACTTTCTTCTTGCTTATGGCGACCACTGGTATCAACAATTATTATTTCAAAACCTTCTTTCTTGAACATTTCAACACCATCTTGTGCAATAACAACTGGATCAACTTCAGTATAACTGCAAACATTCATATCGATTATTTTATAAAAGACGGATGCTAAAATTTTATCACATTTATTTGTCTAATCAATTAACACCCTGATATCTTGATACTATTGTCATCTAAGAAAGACTCAACTCATCTATTACAATGCTATATACAAATTTACATATAAAGAAAGTATTTGTCGTTATTAGAAGTTTTCCATTTTTGTTTTTATACACATTCCTTCACTGTAACACACACTTCAGCCTTCACAACGTAAACAATTTTACTTAAATGGCACAAAACGAAAAGGACTATACTAATTTCATTAAAGATGTATCAAACCTTCCATAAAAGGGTATTCTGGCCTTCGTTGCATTCTGCTTTAACTGATCATATGCACCAGCTCGGAAAGTATCAGCACACACAAGACAAGCTTTCCAGTTCTTTTTGAGGTAGTGATATGCCAACTTTGTACATGTAGTAGTTTTTCCAGAACCTTGCAAACCTACAAACATGATTATATTTGGTTTGCCTTTAACAGGTTGGTAGGCTTTGACACCAGGATCAACAAGCTGAAAAGAAGAGATTATATTAGAAAAATGTATTAGATAGAAAAAAGGAAAAAGATTTTAAAAATTCTTCCTACCTTAACCAATTCCTTGAAAACAGCACTCTGGATCATCCTACGCTTGTTGAGCCCACCAGCCATCTCATCAAAGTCAATGACAGCTCGCACATTTTCTCTTAACTTTTTAACAAGCCTAATATTTACATCAGCTTCCAAAAGAGCAGCACATATTTCCTTTAGCATAGAATTTAAGACCTGAAATTTCACCATAGTCAGGTATGAAAGATAGGTTAAGTCACTAATTATGATAATTATGGTCACAAAAATGAATGTTGATCTATCAGAAACTTCATATATAATGCAAGAAAACACAAACAATGAGCACGTAACTTATTTTAATGGTATTGTGGAATAATTTCCGAAAAAGAAACAACAATATGACACATTACCCAATTCTTACAAACATTACGTTGCAATTAAAAAGTAATAAAAATTAAAACATTTCTTCAATGCGGGCTTTTAGAGACATTAGTTAATAAAACAACTTCCACATGAAATAAACAAATAAATTACGTCGCTTCGTTTTATGGAAATCTAAATGTTACCTCTTCATTGATTATTGTAGCATTGCTCATAGACCGCAGAGCGGACGTAATTTTACGTCCAAGATCTGCTAACACCATCTTGACGTATTTTCAAATACCACGATCAAATATAAAATATACAAACGCTTAATGAAAAGACCACATATGTTGTACGAAATTATGACAAACTATAGTGCTGCTATAGTGGTCCAACATTGCCGTGGCCACTACGCTAATCATACACAATACTTATTTTCGAGCTACGTCACTATAATATTTACATCGTAGTTACGATGTGATCAAGGCATAGAAAAACGTGACCTTTGAGAGTGAACAATCACAATGTGATGAATTAACATGCAGTTTTCTCATAGCGTTCCACGCATTAAAATATGTTCATGGAGGACGTATGAAAATATTTGAACTGACTCTCGCGCACCACGTGTGTAGCTGTCACGAAGGCCGTCAAGTACAGCAGTCCTAAAACGGCGTAAAAAACATCTACGATCAATTTATGGCTATTGTAGCAAACCAGAACCAGTGCGCCGAATATTTCATGTTTAACACTCAATTATTTTTCATATTTCATCACTTTTCAAGGGCTGTGAGTGCACCGTAGAAAGTAGTTTCTAGTGCCCTACTTTCCGCATAACCCAACACAATGAGAGTAGAGAACTTACTCCAACCAATTTCCAAAATTTCATTTTACTTAAGAGTCATATTCATACTATATTCTAATTCTCGTACATAAGGAATGACAATTAGCATTTGTTAATTATTCAGAATTAATATTTGCAATTGTATCTTTATTTACCTTAACCTTGGGTGGTTAAGAAATATGTATTTTTATTTTAGTTTTCCACCCTTCGGTTTTTATTGTAATTATTCTCTTTGCGTAACTCGCCCCCGCCCTTAACCGCTCAGCGGGTACTGAGTGGATGCTGAGCCCGATCAATAGATGGTCTCATCGCAACGAGAGAATGGAGGACATCGCGTATCCACGCAAGTTTACGTGATAACTTCTCATGCAATGTGCCAATTTAGTTATCACAGACAGTACTTCTAAAACATCGATAATTTCGGAAACAATCACAATGGATGATCCAGCTGGTAAGTATTTTCCTAGCATTTTACTGCACATCGTAGTAGACGTCAACACTAGCACTTTTATTTTCCTTTAGTTGTATAGTACCTAAATTTCTTGGATTACAGAATTATGTATATCTGTACAAGTACAGAGCAGATGCAATGATACTGGGCTTTCGCATGATTTGCACCACGAGTGGTAATTATTTTCTAAAACCTATTATATCATAATAGTTTGTAATGATTTTTGCGAATTATTGTAACTTTTCAATGAATGGTTTCCATATTTTCAACTACAAAATCCTTTTTGAGACACCACTCTTATTTTGTCGATTGTATTTTAATTAAACCGATAAACAACGTAGTTTTCTTTTCAGACATCATTTAATACGCTGTGAAATACGTGTTGTTAAACGTGTGATGTGTGAGAGGCAAAACATGGGCAACTAGTGGAGCTATAATAGCTTTTTTGCTGGTTTTCTTTGAAACGGTTACGTTACAATATTGTATTACTAGCTGAATTGATGCGAAACTTTCGCAATTTCAACTTGACTGCATGTTTTTGCGTCTAGCGACGGGTTTCTTCATTAAGGATTCCTATCATTGACCCAACACATGTGAGTGTTCTCAACCCGCAAAAACATTTGCCCAAGCTGAGATTTGAACTCGACAACTTAGTTTCTGTTTCCTAATGCTACCCCCTCTGCAGCCGGGAATTTTGATAGTTCAAATGGCCAGACTCCTCCATTAAAATATTTGTTTTTAATTTACCACTTTTAATTAAAACAGCACTTATGCCAAATATTTCAGTACATTGTGCTCCATCTTTTCAAAAAGTTTAAAGAAACCAGCGGAAGTGCGTGGCATACTGAAACTTTGCCACCTCTTAGTACCACTAGTTACTACTCAAGAATTACTAATATTTTTCTTGAAACAAAGTGAATGACATCATTTAAAGATCTAAAATTCAGGAATAAATTGCATTGAGAAAGAAATTTCTGGCTTTAATATTGGAGATGAAGGATAGGATCGTTAATAACTTGAAACTTTTCAATAATTTTCAAACTTTCATAGGTTGTTATGAAAATCGAAATTATAGAGTTTTGATAGAAGTACTTTCTTCTATTCCAACAAAAAAGGAAAAAGTTGCTGCCTTTTACCAGAAAATTTTTGAAATGTCACAGGTTTTCAGGTGAAATACCCCTAAAATTAATATACCTTAATGATCTCCTGAACAGACCTACTAGACACTATTATTCCTGATTTATTTATCAAGTTTCACCACAAAATCTTCTAATTTCACAGTTATGCGTGACCCATACTTTCATCCATTCCAATATCGCGATTTTGTGGTACAAAAGTGCGTGTATATCCTCACCCCTTGCACAAATCATAATCGTCTTTGGAACGGCACTAATACGAGTAGACCTGACGTGTGCGCGAAGTAACAGCCTGAAATATTCTCAACCATGTATTTTACGACTGAGCATTCGAGACCGTATTATGGAAGTGATCCCAATACTTTTTCATGCCTTATATGCTATCGTATTAGGAGGAACAGTATTTTACCCTTAATTTTTAGTAATTTATCAATATTGCAAAACAAACTATACATGAAATGTTTTAAAGATCAAGTATTATAGAAAATATAATTTTAAGAAAAAATATGTTGTTTCAGAGATTTTAAATAAAAGTCGGAAGAGTTTGAAAATATATTCCATCCCCCCCCTTCCAAAATAACTGTTTCAAGTTGAATTGCCGCAATAATATCCAGTCCGGTCCAATTCGAGAAAGCGGCCTAAACATTTCTAAAAAATTGAATAAACATATGCAATCTCTCTTCTTTTTTTCTCAAAAACCGCTATTTTCTTTGTCTCGAGATCGCTCAAATCGATTGGAAAATATCCATTTGAAGAAAATCCTTGGTACTGTTTAAGCGGTGGTATTGTTCACAGTCAGACGTTTTGAAAAACTAAACCAACATAAAACACAATTTCGCTGTACCAGGGGCCCCCAAACCGTGTATTTCCGTCAGAATTTCGATGTAGATTTTTACATTAATATACTACTTTCTCTATACTACGTATGGATGTATTGATCTGAATACGTATACTAGTCTTGGAGAAAGTAAAAAGGCAAGGTATCAATAAAAATGTTTATTAACAACTAAAAACTAATTTCCGCTCATTGAGAATTATTTTTTCATCTAATTATTAATAATAAATAGTTTTTAATGTTTTAATGTCAAAAGCAGTTAAAATTGTATGTGGCTTATCAGGGGAGGGGAGTAAAGCTATTTATGTAGCTACGGTTTCAGCTTCTTAGTTCAGAAACAAAGGTAGAGACCATCTTAACATCTCAATGCTTTAGGGAAACTACCGAGAAAACCTGATCGACATGGGGGTCATTGAGTCACAAGCTGGTTACAAAATATGTTATATGCATCCTCTCCTTTAAATCCACTCTTTTAAAATTATACAATAGCCTTCAAAAGGTAATTAATACATTAACATCATTGTTGAAATAAGTATTATTTTGGTTTAGCCTTTACATTAGTCTTCAACTGATTAGAAGCAGATATTCAACCAAACAGCAATTTATCTTGTACTTGAAATTGTGAATCAATTTTAAATACTGTTTAATGTCGACTGTCAGTTTATTATAAAATAACGTGGGGTGGATGTTTTTGTTAGGAGCAGTTGTTACTGACACCCAATGATTAAGATTTCTACACTGTATGCGAAATGCAAACCCCATGAGAAGGGGCGGGGGTGCAGCTGGTATATTGCTCATGAATCTTGGTGGGGTTCACGGCTCCCCTTAGTGGCCAATAGCGCCCAGTGTCTTTAATCATTTTCAATTTTGCAAGTAAATATATTGTTAAAATCACGTCACTCTCTTGTACCACAGAGTATTACATCACGTTCTAAGACATCACGAATTCGAGAGAGCAGCCTAAAAATTTCTAAAAAATTGCATAAGCTTATGCAATTTCTCTTCTTTCTTTCTCTCTCTCTCTCTCTCTCTCTCTCTCTCTCTCTCTCTCTCTCTCTCTTTCTCTCTCTCTCTCTCCTCTCTCTCTTCTCTCTCCTCTCTCTCCTCTCTCTCCTCTCTCTCTCCTCTCTCTCTTCTCTCTCTCCCTCTCAAAAACGATCCAATTATTTTCTTTTCTACGGATACAAGAAGGAACGCTTAAAATAATGGTGCGGGTCTCTTTTCGGTTGAACTCTCTGATTTTTCGAAAATTGAAAATTAAGAAATAATGCGAAAAGATGTGATGATTGTATGATTTGTATGTTTTGATTTGATGCACAGTTCTCGAGATATTCCGTTTCTTTAAGATAAAAAAACTCACCATGTATGTCTGTAAAATTTTACTTCCTTACGTGCTGCTTACGCTGTATCTATACATTCTCTATTGAGAAAATATTGCAATGCTACGGAAAAAACAGTAATTTTTCGACTGAAAAACTCTCACTGCTGGGTTCTGGTAACGAAAAAGTGTATAGTTGCCTTATCACTTACAAATCACTTGCGGTACGAGTACTAGTGCGCAAACGGCCGTCTGGGAATCCCTGATGTGTAGCCTTATTCAGTAATCATGAAAAAATGTTGGCATGTCAAATGTGTGTGCGAGTGTGTGTGGTGGGGGGTTCGTCAAAGGAAGTGATTGAAATGTATCTCCTAGAATCTCTCCATTTGAGGATTTTAGGCAAAGCCACGAACTAAGCCGCCTTTTAGGACAATACACACTTTTTAATCATTTATTGAAGTTAACAAGGTGCTTACGGTAGATTAAAAATAACCAAATTATGTTGCAGCTTTTCGTGAAAGTAATGTTATTCAAGATTATGCAAATATTTCCGTGTTACGCTGTTTCTTATCGTGCTGAGTGTTCAAAACTTCGTTAGAACGCCATCGTTCGTGTGCACCGAAGTACACTGATTTTGGCTATTAAATAGTTCATTCGTTGTTTAGGTCAATAGTAAAATAGTGGTGCTGCAGTAGTATATTTTCTCGCATTATTTGTACCTTGTACAATTTTCGAAAATTCGAACATGTGATTAACAATAAAACTAACCACACACGCCACTCACTATTCCATATCACGCTACATGCACAACACGAACACAATTAACATATCTCTCATCACATTTAATGTCAAATGGTAAGTGATTCCATCTAAAACACACCAAAAGGAAATATTGCATAATGCATAAAATTGGTCGTCATAATAATTGTTAAATTGTTTGTTAGAGACCTGAGAGGCTTAATATAAGCCGAAATGTTGCAAGTTTTTAAAAGGTAGTTACACAGAGGGATCGTAAAATGTACACACTCTTCGACAGCGTATACATTTGGAACGGAGAAACATATGGCTGTGATTCTTGTTTGCTATTTCAGTTGAATGTTTTTTTTTTACATGTTCTTATAATTAAGATTGTTCTAAGTGACCCCAATTAGTAACTAAACATCGATGACATTGAAATTCTGACCGAGTGTACACATTTTTTTGAACCCTTTGTATATCTAAACGCAAGTCAATCAGCATTTTATACGTCGATTAAAACATGTGCATTGACACTCGGTCGTTTGTGATGCTGTGATCGAAGCAGAAGCTTAAACGTCGCCATTCAGACATCACTACACCGACGTTCAAGCTTACGGTTGGATGACAGCGTCACAGCTGATGAAGTGCCAACGGACTTAATTGTTTAATCGAAGTATAGTGCACCAGGAACGTTTCTCCGCAGTGGCACCTTGCTAGTGAGGATGCGTGCAACATAAATCATGTTGGTAGCACAAACTGCAGCTTGTAACGAAAGAAAACGCAAATACTGTATTCACCACTGTCAAAATAGATGCGGAGAGACTTCTCTGGCTCGCTGTATAATGAGTATAATGAGCGGATTTTAATGAAATGTCATTTTTTCTTTTCCCTTTAGAACAATGCCGTTTAGTATAGAAATTTATTTCATGTTATGAAGATTTTTTCATTTTTCGTCCGCTTCGACTATTAAGTCATTTTTTACGTTTCATGTACTGCATGTTTCGCTGCATTCATCGATTTTAATATCATTTTAATGGTACTTGCTTCAAACAATATTTACAAGTTGGAAAAAATGTTCACCACAGAATTTCTCAGTAGCCTATTAGATTTCTTCGCTCATATATTGTAAAGTCAGACTTGTGAGTACCAGGTAATCTAAGGCTCCTGCAATGTTAATCGACGCCATTGTAAGTTCGGTCGATTTCGCGATAAATAAAGGCGGGTATTCCTATTTTCTTTTAAAGGACAGTCCAAACCCAAAGTTTGCAAGCTGAGTTCACTTGAACTAAAGGAAGAAGCCTCGATTACATCAGTAACATATTCAACAGCTTGAGTTGCTGTTCTTGAAGTGGTTTTGATAATATGTTTTACCTCATTTTTCTTTGTTTTTAGGGCATATTAAAAGCATTTTAAGAGCTTTTTAGTGACAATTTGTGGCAATGTTGTAGGTCATAGAAACCAGCTCCCCTTGTAATAAGTATGTGATATGATGCGCGCAGGAGTGGGCGGGGTGCCGCGCGACTTCGAGGAGACGGTGGAGCAGCTGCGCGAGCGGCTGGCGGCCATGAAGCGGCTGGTGGGCGACGACCTGGAGAAGCAGCGCGCGCAGCGGGCGCAGCAGCACCAGCAGCGCAGCAACTCCAACGGCGACTCCATCATCGACGGCAAGTTCCTCAGCGTCGTCTTCGCCGTCGTGCTGCTGCTCATCATCTGCGTGTCCAGCTACGCCTTCCTCAACCTCTACTACGCCATCCTCAAGAAGTTCCCCGCGCGCGAGCACTCGGAGCTGTAGGCGGACAGCTACTCATCGTCTGCGTGTCCATCTAAGCCTTCCTCAACCTCTATTACACCGTTCTTAAAAATTCCTCGGCGCGCGAGTTGTCAGATGGGCTCATTATCTGCTTGTCCAGCCATGCCTGCCTCAAACTCTATTACCCATCCTCAAGAAGTTCCACCTCACGCGAACATTCAGAGCTGTACGCGGCCATCTGCTCATCTGCGTGTCCATCTAAGTCTTCCTCAACCTCATTACACCATCCATAAGAATTTCTCGGCAGGTGAACATTCCGAGCTGTAGGCGAACAGCAGCTCGTTGTTTTCTGGTGTGATCATGATGCAAGGATTTGAAAGGTGTGCCAATAAGGTGCAAGAATTTACGTCGTGCGAGGGGGGGGGGGGCTCGCACGCGAAATCAAATATGTTGTTAGTTACTCAGATACAATAGCAGCATGCTACGCGATTGGCCATGTTACTCAGAATAGAAGATACAATGAGATAATTTTCTTCTAGTTTGCGCAGGACTAGGTAGTCGTCAGACTAGAATGGCGTGTTGAGTCAAGCGTAGGATTCCGCGGCCAGAGTCAATAGACAGTAGGCTGTTCGGGATGCGACCTTGACACAGTTGCCAACATTTCAACTGCCGTACAGAGAGCTTCCTCCTCGAAAATACCACGAGAGCAAAATGCGCATTTCGCTCTCAGAAACGTCGCAATATGACAGCTGAAGCGGTGGCAGTTGTGTCCAGGACTCGACGACTTACGAAGAGCTAACTATGTTGCATCTTGCTGTTTCGGCGAAGGAAACAATGTAATAAACGAATTTTAAGCGTTATATTAAAGATGAGAAATCGCTTAGAAATTTGGCAGCGGTTCCACCGTTACCTCTGCAGCATCCTTGATCGATAGGTCCTCGAGTTTGAATCCCGAAGGTAGTGTATTTCCGTAGTCACATCGAATTCAACCACTGTCTGGAGAAAAATTTAGCACTTCTGTAGTTTTCCGAGAAACCTTAAACAAGCCACGGACCTCGCGGCTTATTCCTTCCTCATCGTTGTCCTCTCCTCTTACACATACACACACACACACACACACACACACACACACATACGTACATGTACATGTACGTACATGTCAGAAGACCAATCGGGGCTGGTAGCTGGACTCATATTTGCCCCTCTTGAGGAAAACAATGCAAGCTGAACTAATGTCCAACGGGGAAGCAATACTCCCCCGGGATATAACATTCACTTACGGAACTAATGACCTGTTGGAAATAAACAGTCATTCTCCCCACTAACAGATGACGTCACAAAATTTCTAGTCTAGCGTGGTAGAAAATCTCGTCTGACCTGTCTCAGTGATATGCCGGCTCTAAGTGGTTATCACCCGATCTTCCACAAGTGAAATGTTATATCATTTTTTGTATAATGAGTATAACAATGAGGGAAAATATTTCAATAGATCCTTGCGTCATGATCTCAAGAGATTAGGTTCGCTTTGGCCCGTAAATCTGAATAACTAGCGACATTTAAGAAATATGTCGAAACATTTATGTAATAAATATTACCTATAATTAAAACTAGTTGGCACCATTATTATAAAATATAGATTTATATCAATACGATAATCACATAAACGTGATTAACACTTGTGAGATGCCAATGCATTTCCATAACTAATAAACTACAAGCTCAATACGACACTAAACGATGCATACCTGTTTTGTACATTTAATTTATTTATTTGAGATATATTGTCATTTTTACTGTTTTGTTAATAGTTTTAAGCCCCTGGAGACCATTACGTTTACAAGTTTTAAAATTGGTACGTCAATTGTGATAGGTTCAAGAATTATAATTGTTGTACGATTATAAAAAAGCTTGAAATATTTATTTCTTATTCAGTAGTTCACATTTTTTCAGATATGGATTAGTCATTTCAGTTATTATTGAGGGGAAATACCATTCCTCAGCGAATAAATAGTATGAATTCATGGATTGATTTACAATTAGAATTATTTTTTGTATTAGAATTTTAAAAAATCAAGCAATTATACAATGTGCAATATTTGAAAAGAACAAAATACCGAGGTCCTATTATTCATAGGGTCTTGGACGCTCACAATTTTCAAAATCGTTCTACGTTTTTTGTAAAAATATTGTGACTTTTGACAAATATCATATGTTAATGCCGCAGAATTTGAATGAGATCACAACTTTAGGAGGAGGAGAAACGATCAAGATTTTCTTCGAAACGCAGTGATTTGATAAAACCAAAGTGATTGTAATTATGATTTTTGGATTTGAAGATAACAGTTAATTACCTTCTATTCGAACCGAATTTGATATGTAACTTTAATTTGAAACTTTTTCAGGAAGTGTTTTTTCGCATCATTCCATTAATAACGTTATATACATACATACATACATACATACATGTGATATTAAATGACTATGTAATTGATCATTCTCAAAACTGTCAACTATTCTTTAAACGTAAGACTACTCAAGACAAGTCTGTACACTCGTACATTTCATGAAATTGTGTATTCAATTTCTATACATGCAAGCAAAAACGAAGCTTCCTGAAAAAGCATCTCTTTGGGGAAAGTAACTCGAAAGAGAGTTGAATCGATGGCTCATCTGAATACAATTATTGACCAAATGTTTTTTTTAACAACAATAATATTGTGCATATATTGTTTCAACTTTATCTGTGTACGTATATGTTCATAAGAGGCTTGTTTTCTCTGCTCCTCACCCCCAAAAGCGTGTTGTTTTACGTGACTGGCAATTATTTTGTAGAAGTCGATGATGGAGTACGCCGAGTAATAGAATACCTGTTGTCAAAACAGTTTTCAATTTATGGGCGTGAGCGCAGTTTAGTGTAATGTTAATTTGATAAAAGAGTGACATAAAAACATTAAAAAACTGTTGAATCTTAATATAAAAAACTGTTTTACCAAAAGCCAAACGGAAAATTGGCTCGCGTTATCATTATCTGGGTTTGTAATGCCGAAACAAAAAATGAGTAAGACTTTTGTTAGAATCAACATTCATAAATGAAAATGATTATTTTGTCTCATTTCCTTCACAATTCACTTTCCTTAGTAAAATCACAATTTCATTTTGAAACTTTTTCACCATGTTCTCCCTTTCAGATTAAAAAAAAACATGATTGTCTAGACTGTTTGATGCCTTTTCCCTTCCTCCAAGAAAACATTAAGAGGAATAATATGAGGTTACAAACATTTGTCAGATGAGCCAAATCTCACCATATGTGGTAAAATGACTAAGAACAGCCACTCGAGTAACTTCTCGTATTGAACAGCTAATGCAAGTATACAGCACATAAACCAGTCACTGGCAATGACGTTGGGGAACAACACGCAGACCCACACTGCGAGTAATTCCAATTTGTTTGCTCGGAAATTCTTTGACATTGATGAATTGCTGGTCGATAAATTATATTCTGAAGGACAGCAATTGCTGATCCTACCCATTTGTTTTATAGTTTTGACAGGAGGTCAAAAGCTTGAAATGTTATGTTTCAATGGACTGCCCTTGTGATGCATTGTTTTATAGGCGGTCAAATAAAATTATTTCTCGTGCCTATCATGATGATCAGGACTGTTGCAACTTTCAACATTTTGTTCGACAGATGTCCTTACTTCTCTTCGAAATGTAGGATATCTCGATTTTTCTCCAAGTTGTCTGTTGCACGATTTTTCATGTTTCAGCAATTAATGTATATGTAGGAACAGAACTAAAGAGTATACGATAGTATGCTGAACACATTAAATCAATAACTTAAGCGCACATATTTTAGTTGTAATGATAACGTTTCGTAAAGGAACGTTCTTGTCTAAACAATCGTTGAATCAAGACTCAGAGTTTAGTTAGTAAGTGCATTCCTACGTAGTTCATTTTGAAACGCATTTATGAGGGACATTGTCTCTTATGGGCTTCCGTTGGCAGAAAGCCGGTACTAACTTTTCGTGGCAAATAATCGTAAGAATTTGTTCTCTTACTTGCATGTCGACAAAGTCGACCACCCTGAATGGTTTGTAAAATCCTTCCCTTGCTCATTTTTATAGAAGCAGAGCTTCATTTCTCGTTGACTATATATGATAGAAGTCTATACAGTGTTTCGGAAAAGTCTACGATAAGTTAGGAGAATTAAATAAATTATTATTGTCAAAATCGTGTTAAAGTGAATTTATGTAAACGTTTTATAAAATAAAAGTTGTAATGTCCTGTGTACAAAATGACTATTTACTTATTTTGATCCCTATCGAATGTGTCTCTTATTCTGCCATTTTTAAAAAATATTTGAAATAAAATGTTTGGTTATTTCAATTTGTAAATTATATAAATGATACATGCACAAAGATACATACAAACTTTACAAATAAGTTCTTGGTTTGTGTTTGTATTTTTATACAATTGTCGAAACGGTTGGGAGGTAACTGAAGCGCAAACACTTCTGCTGTCATTCCACTGCATCTGTAACGACAGAAAAGTTTACAGAAGACGTCGTAAAATAAACCTTAACTTCTTTCTACATCTCCATTCCGCAACAAATGTAACCACCATTTCACTAGGATAAAACATTATCAAACATAAATGTAGCTTCACTACGCGCACGTTTTGCTGAACTCTCCTTTTGCTTGTAGTGGTAGGAGTATAGGTAAGGGTGAGTTACTATTTTTTAGCAATGCAGAAAAATCAAACCTGCAGTTCGTTTACCGTTGCAAATAAGTTTTTTTATAACTCGGAAACGAAAATGTCTAGTTTTTCAAATGTTACTAATCTCGCGCTTTTTTAAATTTTACTTTTATTTATTTATCTTTAACTTTTATTCATCCTGCAACTATTTGTAGTTAAAATGATGGAAAGGGATTCTGGAACCCAGGAAAACGTGCGCAGATGATCTTCTCCCCCGGAGGTCACATTTTTTTTACTTTTTTGGACTAAATAAATCTAATTCCCTCTAAGCTTCATAAGAATTAACAAAACATATCCCCAAGATGTTTCAATGGCTGTCTATATGGCTTGCTCTAAGACACCTACATTTTGTCTATGGGTAGCACAAGCAGGCATGTTTCTTTCGTATACTTCCCAAACTGATGAGACAAACTGAAGTCGAAAAAGAAACTGGAAATGATAACATACGCGTAAAGCCACAGAAGCATAGCGTAGCCTAGTCTAGAGCAAATGCGCTCGACAGGAATCAGTTGTCCCGAATGTTGAAATTTGTCGGGAAAGTTTGTGATGTAAAAGCTAAAGGAACAAAAGCTTTTGTGGTTTTGATCGTTCATGGGAAAATGGGAGGGCTAAGAGGCCAGATGGTCTGTTATCATAACCGTTTATGGAATACACGACCAAAGCCATTTCTTGAGACTAGGATATACAAAGGTAAACATATTCTTTGGCTTTGGTTATCCTTTCCCATTTCTGTTTCGACTTCTATTCGTCTCATCAAAAGGGAAAGTTTTTGATTGAGATTTGAATGAGAACGAAACCATTGACATGGTTGCTTGTTTTACCCAAGGATAAAAAGTGTGTGTTTTTGAAAAACTATTGAAATATCTAGAACCCCACAAAGTCAGGCCGAACTTTTCGCTGAAGATTTTTAATTGTCTTTTAACATACTTCACGATGTCACAATAACAACCCACTTCACCATCGTCAGTCAAAAACCATGATTAATGAATACAAACATAGCGAGACCCGAAGGGGTGAACCTCAAAAGTAAAATTGAAGGGCTTGAAGCAGTAATTAGATAAGCTACATCATCCGTAGGAAGACTCCGAAAATTTATTACTATTAATATTTTAATTGCAGTAAAAGTGAAGCTTATTATGTTACCTTGTTGAAATTTATAAATATTTTGGGACAGTAGAAAAAAGAGACCGATTTAGAGTAAAACCGAGATATTAAGATTTACGAATAGTTTAAATCAAGCTTTGACTAATTTTTTTTAATGCTCCAAACTAATCAATATCTAATGGTGGTGACCTATTCCATAAAACTTTGTTGTCGCATAAAGCCAACGGAGATGTACGCAGTGATACATTGTGTATGATAATAGGGGAATAACACAATCAAATATTTGCATTTTCAGTGAAAATGAACTGTGTAATAGTTTTTGGATTTTTGGCCACTCCGACGCCCCAGCTTCATTTGTATCAGAACACCTGAGATAGTTAGACTCGAACCATTGAGAATACAATTACAAACTCTTTCGACCACGAGCTGTGTCTGGGTTCCACCCTACTGTCAAACGGCGCTTTTCACCTAGCCACATGAAGGGATCTTTTTTTTCGGATTTTTTAGCCACTCCAACGCTCCCAGCCCCATTTGTATCAGGGCACCTGGGATAGTTAGACAGGAACCACTGAGAATAAAATTACCAACTCTTTCGACCACGAGCTGCCTCTGAGTTCGCCCCTACTGTCAGAGCGGCGCTTTTCACCTGGCCACGCGAAGGGTATGGACCACCTCTTCCTCCTCCTCCTCCTCCAGCTGCTGCCGTGCTGCCTGCGGCGGGCAGTGGCTCAGGGCTTCCAGCGCACCACGGCGAGCAGGCGCTGGCGCACGCCTTCCGTGTCGTCGTCGCTCACTTCCAGCTCCTCCAGGTCGTCCTCGATCTCCAGCAGGAACTCGCGGCACTGCATGTTCTCCGCCATGTTGGTGAGCGCCTGCAGCGAGCACAGCTGCGCGCCGCGGTTGGCGCGGTGCTTCGCCACCTCCAGGAGGGGCTCCATCAGCCCGCTCTGCAACACACACCTCACATCCACTCATCTACGACACAAAAGTGACAGTTTGTACTTATGTATATTACACGTCTTCACTTGTCCGAATGAATGTCAGTATGGATGTTTGTAACGTGTGTATGTTGAATGAATGTACGTGTGTATGTTGAATGAATGTATTGACGGATGAATGTACATCCACTCATCTACGACACAAAAGTGACGGTTTGTACTTATGTATATTACACGTCTTCACTTGTCAGAATGAATGTCAGAATGGATGTTTGTAACGTGTGTATGTTGAATGAATGTATGTGTGTATGTTGAATGAATGTATTGACGGATGAATGTACATCCACTCATCTACGACACAAAAGTGACAGTTTGTACTTATGTATATTACACGTCTTCACTTGTCAGAATGAATGTCAGTATGGATGTTTGTAACGTGTGTATGTTGAATGAATGTATTGACGCGCCCGGTATCACTAATTAATCAGTTCAAATGACGCTCCTGAACCACAAAACGATACGCACGTAGACGGCGGCCTGCTTGCCGTGGGTGGTGTGCGTGAGGTTCATGACGAGCATGGCGGCGCTGCGGCAGAGGTCTGGGTCGGGCGCGCACAGCATGAGGCGGATCTGCAGGCTGCTGACGATGCCCAGCTGGTCGCCCACTAGCTTGCCCAGCGTGCACGACGCCAGCCGCGACATGCACTCCATCGCACCAGCCGCCACCTGCGGCCGCAGGCACGAGCTCAGAGGCTCAGGGAGTAATCTCAAGGAAGGTCTCAAGGAAACCCTTAGAGGTTAAGAGAATGCTTCAATCGTATAGTGCAGAATTAGTAGTTGTCACTTGAGAGGGGAACGGCATTCTGAAATGATGTTGGAAAAGAAAAAGACCGAATTTATTGACCTCACTTAAGTCGTAAAAGGATCCGCAAAGGTACTGCAGGTCTTGAATTGAAATCAAGGAGAGTCGTCAGTTGACGAATAAGTCAATAGGTAAGGCGAGATAAAATAAATTGGGACGAATTCGTAGTTGCCACTTGTCAGATAATCTTTATACTTTAAAGTGAGGTTTTAATCAGCTGTAGTAGCATCACAAATGATAGGGCCATGCATCCTCTTGAATAGCAATGTTAAGTTACCAATATCATGCGATTGCTTGAAATTGAAAAACGTTTTAAAAGTGAAACGAAATATTTAATAGAATACACAATTTACAATTTCACCTTTCGTCTTTCACACGCAAGCACATTGCATCGTTTGTTGGTCATCGATCATCTTTAAGGAATTGTCAGTTACAAGATGAACTATTTTTCGTAGAAATTGTACATATAGAATCAAAATGGTAATTGTCTTTTTTTTTTCAAACGGAGAGGCCGCGCTCTCCGAATCATCAGAGGTCGAACAATGCTGACATCTTTTATTGGAAAAAGTGGCTATTTTTGACCTCTCATTTCGGATTAGGATAGTTTCTCATCCTCGTGCACCCCTCATAGTTGAATGAGGACTCTGAATTTGAATTTATAAAATAGAAGTACTTATTTTAAGAGAATGTCATAAATTATATCTATAGATGTGTTTTATGCAATATTTCGTTTTACTCAAAATGTCTTTATTCAACTTACAATGAGCTTATGTGAAAAAGTGTGGTCGAAATGTGAGCCAAGTAACAGTTAATTTAATTTCTATCTTTATTTAATATTTATAATTATTTTGAGAGAATTGTGAAATGTCATTCATTAAAAAATATACCGTTCTCCTGCAATTTGAATCTTACCTGAGGCATTAGATGCATATGCATGAAGGCATGCAACGGGTTGAAGGCTCCTTGGTAAATACAAATCTCCTTCGTCGAATCCAGTTCCAGTAACAGCTAGGAAATAAAAAAATGTGAAGAATCTCACATACCGTACTTTCCATTTTAGTAAAATTTGATACGTGAATATGAGACCACGTTTGTAATTTAAATTTAACTCGGATAATACTTGAAATTAAAGCAAACTCGTATGTTGAATTTTAATATTTATTGTGCTAATAATAGCCAACGAGTCGATCCGATGGCCGAGATCACAAAGGCAGTAGTGACGTAGCGGTCTTGGATCAGAAGATCGTGGGTTTGAGTCCCGCTTCGGGCATGGTTGTATTGTGTGTGTATCTCTGTATGTGTGTGTAATTCTATTTCATAATTCATCATCATAATTTCATCCCATCCCCCGGGGCTAAAAATGTAATCAGCATTAAAATGATGCATTAAAATGCTGATTCCCCTCCATAGAAAAAGTAATATGCACCTACCCCGATAATCAAGTCTGAGCCCCGGTGGGATGAACGTATCATACGGCGCCATGATGGCCAATTAGCGGAAAAAAACGCTAACGAATTTTCAATCAGTTTCTGGTTAAAATTGGAAACTTGTATTACAAGTTGTTCGTAAAAAATTGAAATTACTAGAAATAAGCAAATTTATTAAAGCAACATAATAACGATATATTTTTATGATACAATAATGTAATGCATATGATGTAATAATACAATAGTTTGTAACGTTGAAATTGTTGGTAATGTACTGATGTAAACATAATGAGGCGGCAGATGACCTGAGCTGTTGTAAAGTGACCATAATAAAAAAAGGGGCCCTTTTTGAGAAAGACGGACGGACGTTTAGAATATATATATATATATAGTATCAAGGGACCCCAAAACGTGTCTTTCGGTTGAAATCTCGAAATTGATTTTCCACAGTAATACATAACTTTTCCCATACTCCGTATTCGGGACAGCAAAACGATGTTTGCAGCCGCTGATTCGGCGACGCACCTGCAGCGCCGCGAGGTGCACGGCGATGATCTCGTGCACCACCTCCCACAGCAGCAGGTGCACGAGGAAGGGCGCCAGGTCGGCCTCGTCCAGGTCGTAGGGGCCGAGGCGGAAGCGCGCCAGGATGCGCAGGGTGAGCGCGGCTCGGAAGCGCACCGCCGTCACCGGGTCGAAGGTCAGCATCTTGAGCACCGGCACCGTGTACGGCTCGGCCAGCACGGCGTCGCGCCCCACCGAGTACCCGGCCAGCGTCTCCGCCACCGCGCAGCTGCGTTCGCGCACCTGCCCGCCCCAGGACGCGGAGGCGCGCGCTGATTAGGAGGCGGTCGGAGAAATGACGAATGAGAGTTCTCGAGACCGGATTGATATCCTCGTACATGGTCCTCAGAAATAGCCCCTAATGATATTGAAATACTGATCATACTTAATCAAAAACAGCACGAAAATAAAACCATAACTTTTCAATTTACAAATGTAATATTTATTAATAATACAATAAACGTATAAATGCATTTTAAAATACAGTCTATTTTTGAGCAATATTTAAGAAAGGAATAAGAATATTTTTTATGTTTAAATTTATGATTAAATGTTATGTTTTTATGTTTAAAATGATTAAGAATAATTTTTATGTTTGTTTTTGTTAATAAAGTAGTTAACAAAATTATTTATGAAACTTAAAAAAAAAAGAGAAATTTATCAGAGGCTCAGAGGGGTCTAGACTCATGCTTAGACTAGTGACACATGAATTCACCCATTTTTTTACAAAACCGTTAAATAAGATACATAAATGAAACACGTAATAAATCGCGGAGGCCAAATATGGTGCTTCTCCGTCGACTTGGAAATGTGAGAGGGAAGCTTTCCAAATTGGTGGTATCAAATTGGCGAAATTTTCGCTGAGATAATTTAACCCAACTGCCTTCGTGTACAAATTTTAAATTAACTCATAAAATAGGGCATTTCTAATATGTTCCAGTTACCCAACTGCTGTTCGAGAAGGAAATGAACAAGAAAAAGAAAGAAACAGGACAAATATGGCGCTTTTTCGTCGAGCGAAGCTTTCCAAATTGTTCGTATCAAATGGGCGACTTTTTCGCTGAGCTAGTTTTACCCAACTCTCTCCGATTTTTAATTACCTCATTAGATAAAGGATTCCTAATACGTTACAATTATCCATTTGCTCTAGCAGTTCGAGAAGGAAACGAACAAGAAAAAAGAAAGAAACAGTTGGGCGACCCGCCCTCGGCCTTCGCTCACCCTGGGGTCCTCGTCCTGCATGAGGTCGATGAGCTTGGCGGCCAGGCCGACGCGCACCGCCTCGCACACCTTCTCGGGGTCGTGCACGATGTCCGAGATGGCCATGATGCCGCGCATCACGTCGTCGTGGTCCTTGCTGTCCAGGTCGCGCCGCAGCTTCGGCAGCACGCGCCGCCCGAACACCTCCGACGCCCTGCACGCGTACACGATATTCGCAGGGGGGAGGGATAGATTCCTCGGATTGGTTGATTAGTGACTCCGGGCACGTCAAATGCTAAGGTTATTAGTCCCGGAAATAGTCCGGTCATCGCGGGATGTCGCGGTGATCTCCCCTAGCTGGTCGGAGAGATCCGACGTCGACCTGCGTCGGCGCGCGGAGATTTTCCCCAACCAGGTATCACCCACCAGCGAAACATCGTCCCTGCCGGGACAAGCACTAAGTTCCCACATGGTCTCCCGACAAAGGATAGATTAGTGCATGTGAGTGAAAGTGTGAGTGGAAGTAAGGGGTGAGGACAGGACATGGAAGAGAAAGGAAAGAGTGCGCGTGGTCCGTGGCCCGTTTGTTAGGGTACTGTTTAAGCATTCGTCTGGTGTTGATCAGAGAAACAACTGAAAACTAGCGATCAGAGCAGCCGGTCGCAAGAATTCTCCGACAGACAGCGGCTACATTCAACAAAGCTGTCTATTTAGTGTCGAAAATACTGCAACCGTCGGGTCTCGAACCTTAGGACCACCTGGTCAGAGACACTGCCCAGGACACTTGAGGAGAATCCCTGGAGGAGGGCAGCAATTGCCGAGAAAACTTTTTCTATAGACTGGCTGAGAAGTATCAGAGGGACTATTACAGTTGGCTCTGTTCTGATGGTCTTAGGGTACGAGTCTCAGCGGTAGTGGATTTTTGACAATGGGTAAAGAGCTAGGTCGAATACAACCGCCGTCTGGAGGAACATTCTAGCGGGCCACAGCTCCGTACGGTAGTTTTTCGTGTATTCTCCGATTAATACCAGGCGAGAACTGCCGGAGCAGAAATCTTAACTAGTGAGTCACGGACCACACGCGATCTTTCCTTCCTCTTCCTTGTCCTAAACTCCCCCGTACACACATTTGCATCTTGTAAACACTACACTACCACATATGTCGGGAAAACAGTTAGGAGCTCAAATTTTTTCGTGGCTGGGGCTGCTTCCTGGAGAGGGGGTGTAGTATCGGGCGCGTTAATAGGCGGCGCCACGGGCGCTTACCGGCGATACTACATATAAATGGCGTGTAAGAACGATGTGGAGGGGGCGTGGCGTTAAGGGATGAATGTTTCGCTTCACGCGGACCCTCAGCCGGGACCAGTGCATTTCGCTCACTTGTGCGACAGCCCTAGGGCACTAAGCTCTCAGTGGTCTTTCGTGATCTGTAGTATTCCGTACTCACGAGCGAACTAAACGCTCCTGTACAAATGCTCCGCGGCTCTTTGCTGACACCGTGAGCCTTACCAAGTTCCATTGGTATCGTAGGGTTCAGTGACCGCGAGAAAGAATGTACGCTCCAAACGCCACGTATCATTATTGTGGTACAGCTGAACTTTCTACCTGTTTGCCAAGGCTATTGGTACTTCTGCAGTATTTGCGCCGCGCAACTTTGTCAAACGTATGAGTAACAACAGCGCTGCAGCCGAACTTTCTACACGCTGAGCAAGGCCAGCCGAAATCTCTGTTGCGTGAACGCCAGACGAAACTATAAATATTCTAGCTACCACGCTGAAGAGTTATTTGCTGGGAAAGGCTCAGTGGATAACATAAAATAATTGATAACACAATCCCATATCGCGGGTCCAAAGACAATTCTGAATCACATTGGAAATGGCAAATTCTTTTATTAGATTTTTGAAATTGTATTTTGTTTCTTGACTTGTACTGAATTTCTAGTTTCAAATTCATGATACACTGTTGGTGGCCAGAATTAGTGAAATATCTTGTTTACTAGTAAGAAATTAGCAATTACTATAAAAAATACTCTTTATGGAAAATTTGTTTTGCAGTAAATGCAGATTTGGAACCTATTTAAATTGCCATAATTAAATTAGTTCCCTGCAGGTTGACCAATAAAATGGATAGAAGTGTGTTCGTAAAGTTTTTAAATATTTTGTAACCCTTTTGGATTCTTTCCTATGTGTTTATGTTTGAGGTGTATTGGTAAGCTTTATAATGTTTGAACGATTAATTTTGTATTACAATTACGCCAGCTTTTCAAGATCAAACATATTTTATGAAATGACATTTATTTTATTTCCTAAACTAATAACAGCACCGAAACGGCGTTCCAACGCGTTTTGTTATCATTGTACCATTTGGTTTCGATCTAGTAAGTAAAAAAGAAAGTTTTCCGGTTCCTTTTGTTCTTGAGTCAGAAGTAACGTTTATGAAGTATTGTAACTGCTTTAACTATATTTTGTACCTCAATAATACCCTGGTTATTTTCCACGGATGTTATTCCCTCCAAAAGGTGTAATACATACACTCCAAACATCGTAATAAAATAGGTGAAATAAATGGGACAATATTGCTGGTGGTAAACTATTACTCTTTTGTTGCATTGGATACTCTTAGGTACAATAATAGGTTATTGACATATTACGACAACAACGTAATATAATACATATGTAGAAACATGAAAAGCCATTCGTATGAGAGTATATCTGATCGCTAAAATAATTTATATATTGAAATTTTACAAAATATTTTGAATATAATTATTTATTATAAATAATTTTAATAATATATTTTGATATATACTATTTGAAAATATAATTTTGCGTTAATACTAAGTTTTAAATTGATTTTTTTTACGATATATACTAGCGCATTAATCACCAAAGAATAATTGTTCCTTATTATTTCCGTATCTTTTTGTTTGTATGATTAGAAAACTGTCATTTTAAAATATGTTATTTGTTTATAAAACGTGTTGTCTTTGTACTATATTTTGTTTTTGTTAGAAGCTTAAATAAATTGCACACGTGAAGAAACGTTTGCTCATTTGGGTGTATCTGCTGTATTTTGACACCTTATGAGAAAATAAATAAAATTATAAAAAAGTATTTTGCCAGGCAGAGAGGTATTTATCATAGTAATGACGGTGATAACAAAATAAGAGGCACATTTTCGAGCAATGGTTTCTTTCAGACACGGGACAAATTGCTCCCTTCAATTCAATTTCTTTTTAAGTACAGAAAGTCTTCATGACACGTCAGATGTGAAACAAATTTCTCATTTATCTAATATTCTCAGAGTCCTCTACAAAAAACAACAATATTTTAATATAATGGAAGTATTGATTTTGGTCGTGAATGTGTTGTTGGACACAACAGCCACAGCATTTTGACAAGAGTAAAGCATTCATTTACGGGAACAAGTAAGTGTACATTTGTTTTCGCATTTAATCTATTTAAATAATTATTCATTGAATTAATAATTAATTATATTATTATAATAATAATTTAATTAATAATTGCTAAGTTTTTGTTATTTTGTTAAAATTTAACAAAGCAACATCGTTATAGTAGGATTGCAGACAGTACTATTGCATGTATGGTCAAAGATAACACAAATATTAATTTTAATAAGGTGGGGGTAAGTCAACTAAAACAATATTTTATATTTGCGTAGTTCGTTTGTATTAAAATGTCTAAAGACAACTAATTTTATGTCATAGTGAACTATTTACACTTTTCAGCTATCACATAGTTCCCATTCACAGACAATTTTACGATATTTACGATTTATAAAAGAGATTTTTCAAAACAAACGCAAACTCAATCGCACAATTTAAATTCTTTGTATCTCTCTCCTTTTTCAGTACACAACTTTTAGCAAACACAAACACCTCCACGGAGATAAACTACCCATTTCAAATCCCATTTATTTATTACTTAAATTTATTATGTAAGGAATACTTGCTAACTGAAATTCGTCAGATTATTTTATACGTTTATCTAAAACAGAATTAAATTATAACTTTCTCGCATACTTCTGCCTAATATACGTAATGCTGCAGCATACAAACAATCATTTCTGTATTTGTGATAGATGCAACTCCCAGTAAGTTAAAAACGTGAATACAAATACAGTACACTCGCGATAATATGAGTCTCTGTTAATAGAAGGTTCGGGATAACAGACAACAATTGCGCACTGAAAAGTGAAACGGAAGGGTGATTTAGTTTCTGCAGCAGTACCGAGGTGTGCGCTTAGGGCAATACAGTCACCGACTCTCTCAAACGTTAGGGGAAATCCTGTTTAGGACAATACTCGGATCAGTTCAATTATGTTCTTGTGCATTTAAATATATTCATTTCTGTCAGTTTTATTATTGACTAGAATGTGTCAAGCAACAATTTCTTTGATACACACGAGCAGAGGCGTATCTACGGTATGGTAGACGTGGCACGTGCTATGAGCGTCACTGACAAAGGGCTCTTATTTAGAGTATGCCTACTAAAAAATTATAGCCATACTTTGAAGCATTCTGACAGGGGCGCACATTCATTGTTTAGCTAGGGCGGTTTGTAATACTTCAAATAAAGCATCCCTTTCCTTAAAAAAATTATATATATATAT